CCCAAAACCCCAAAACCCCAAAACCCCAAAACCCCGCAGGCGAATATTTCAGTGATAATAAATAATCAGAAATAAAAATGTGTGATTAAATTAGTTCAACGAAAGACTTATAATAAATGAGCAACAATCATAACACTAGCACCAATAATCAGCAAAATGGAAAGTCTTCAAATATTAATCTAGCTTTGTTTAAAGATCAATAAAGATTTAAACACTTTGCTTCTAGAGCAGAATCATTTTCTCAGATGAATAAACTAAGAAATTAAGATCAGCTTTCACGAGCTACTTCAGTTGGAGGAAGGTTCAAGAAAAACAGCATAAAGCATTTGAATCGTGATGCTTTGTGCGATTATGATTCCTAAAAAATATCTTTATTGGATAAACACAGTGCAAATAATAGTACTTAATTGTGTGAAGAGAGCAAATACTCCTAATAAATAACAATCAAAGAGCTATTAAAACCGAATACTGATACAGTATCAAAATAATCCTTTTTCGATTAATTATCATCTGTATCCGCCTCTAAAAAAGTGGTTCAGAAGAATATCAAAATTAGCAAAAAATTGATATCATAGCCTAAGTTGAAAGAGTTGAAGAATGAGAACAATTAATGCATTCAAAATGTAGAAAATGAAATTATACAAGGATAGCCAAAGCGCTCTCATTCCCAGTAAGATTTAAGGCAAACTAAAAATACTATACATGAAGAAAATCTTCAATAAGCTTCTAACTAACTTAAGCTGAATCAAGAAATAGATAATTCTTTTCTAATAGATCCTATAGAGTTAGAAAAAAATCAAAACCAAGGATAGCTGAATAGGACTATAGATTATTAGCCTAGAAGGGGATCATTGATTGAAATTAGAAAGGTCAAGTTTGATGTTAAAAAGGTATAGTAAATGCTTAACTCTAGACAAGCCTTAGAAAATTCAATAAAACTTATTAAAAACTAATGCAGCAGAATTTAGAAGAGACTCATTGATAATTAATAAAACGACCAAGAAAATAGGACTGAAAGTTTCAAAGAGCAGCTTGCAAGAATCATTCAAACTAGGAATGCAAGTCCCTTCAAATAAATACTACTAAACACAACTAAAAGTAAAATTAATGAGTCGATTTAGAATAATCCTGAAAAATGGTAGAACACTGATATTAAGTAATAGCCCTAGATTAAAACTTTAGCATAAAGAGATATGAGCTCCCAATTTACAAATTCAAATCCTTAGTACAATAGGCTACTTCATTAGAAGAGAGCTTAATCTGCATATGGAAAGCTTAAAGATAGAAAATAATCTATGATTGATTTTGAAAAGACAATTAACCCTTCTTTTTATAAACTGATATCAAACTCTCGTCCTCAGAGTGTTCTAAAAAGTTAAAATCATAAGAGAGCCTAAAGTGCTCTGAAAACAAGAGCATAGACTGCTTCAACTCTTTCAAATTTTGAAGTAGGAACACTAAATCAATAGAGCTCATAGAACATGTAAATATTCGGTAGAAGATTAAGTAGAAATGATTCTTTAAATGAGACATAGAGCAGAATCAAAAATTTTGCTGATTTTTCCCAACATCACATTAATAATTAGACTATTATATAGACTAACACCTTTGACAGTATCATGAGTTAGTCTCAATTATAGAATTCAACTATAAAGTTTTAAAACAACAATAAGATAAAGTAACTAAGAGACATTTATCTATGGAATCAAAGACTATAAATGACTTCTTCAAAGCGAAGGTCAATCAGCCGTGCTGTTAAAAACTTTCAAACTGATAAGAATTTTACTTATAATAGATTTTTCGATAGTCGATTCTAAGAAAATTTATAATAAGAGTCAAGTATTGAAAGAGTTAAAATAGTTATTCCAAAACTAGATCTAAGTTTTACCTAGAAAATAAGAAAAGAGGAAATTTAGGTGAATAAACAATGAAATAATATGTATCGAATAGAAGCTGTTTATAATTAGGCTAAGAGTTTGATTGATTAATAACAAAAAAGTTAATAAATATTTTTAATTGCATATAATTTAAATATTCGTTAAGAATTAATATGTCTTACAGCGAGGCCAGTTACACTAGAGGAGGACTCTACGAGACAGAGGCTCAAAGACTACAGCGCGAGGCTGATGAATACACTAAAAAGCTTGAACATGAGAGAAAGTAATACCCCTTCATTAATATACATTCCTAATCATTATTTGTTTATAGGCGATACTTGATATTAGAAGATCAATACAAGCAGCTTGATAGTGAATATAATGAGAAAAAGGAGAAGATTAAGTAGATGATCCCTTCTGAAGAAGACTTTCACATGTAAGAAGTTCAAAGAAGACATTATTTGCACATGCTTGCTAATGAGAAGGTCAGATTAAATGACACTATTGGAAGAAATAATCACTTAAAGACCGAGATTAACATCATGAGAAAGGAAATTTTGTAAGTCTTAATTCATACCGATTCAACTTCTAATCTAGATTCGCCCAAGATAGTATTGCAAAAATGGGAAGATAGATTGGTAGAATTAAGAAAGAAGCCTTGACTACAAATAAAGATTATATAGCAGGGTCTAAATAAGCTGATGAGACGAATAATTAAATTTTGGCATTGAAGGCAAAGCATGAAGAGGAAAAAGAGCGTTTTGAATTAGAGATTAAGAAACTTTAAGAGAGACTTAAAGAGAGAGATGAGCCGATTGAATTCGATGACAAGAGCTTTAATTAAACAGTAAATGACACTAAGGGTGGTCCTGGTGGTTAGAAGACTGAGTTTGCTAATCCAATTGCCATCTTAAAACTCAGACTTAACAAGGTTATGCAAACAAACAAAGAAAAGAAGAAGTTGCTTGATCAATATATGAGAAATGCTAAGATTATAGAGGATGCCTTCGATCAAATAAAGGATGCCACTGGAATTCAAAACATCGAGGAAATCGTCACTACTTTCATCAAGGCTGAGGAGTAAAATACTAGTCTCTATAACTATGTTAACCTACTTAATCAGGAAACTGATGCTATCGAAGAGCAAAATAAACAACTTGATAAGAATATACTGAAGTTTAGAGTAATTAATTCTTGCTAGTAATCATCTAATTTAGAGTTTATCAGAGTAAACAGAGCAGTAGAGATAAGCAAGAGTTCATGAGTTGAAGCAAACCTCTGAGTCACTAAGAGATGAAATCTTGAAGAGGTAACTACCAATCATTTATTAAGATAAAATTAGCAATAATGAGTGCGACGAGATGTAGTATGAATTTAATTAGATGCAAAAAAACTCTGCAAGAATGATCAAGCTATTCAAGCAATCAAAGTTTTACCTATCAGTAGCTAGCAATATGAACTACGATGAAAATACCGTCTTCAATGAGAATAATATCATTCATCACTTGGCTGAACTTGAAGAATACATCTCTTCTCTCATCACGTATGTTGCCTTCAAGCGTGATGATCCCAATGCTGCTATCTCTAGTGTTCCCTTAGAGAAACTTAACCAGAAGGAGTTCAATAAGAAGGAGATTCAGATTGATGCTCCAATCGATACTGAAAGAGGTGATCCATCTATTATGGGTGCAAAGACTGATGCCGGTGGAGACCTTGAAGATGATGTTATTGTCGACTCTAAGCAGTTGTACATGAAATTCATGGATATGGTTGGAAAGAAATAGATCAACATAGTCCACTAATCTTAGGCTAAGAAAGACGGAGGTGTCACAAATATTAACAGAGATAACGATTGACATTTACTCATTCATTCGCTTACCTATATATCATTCCAAGTTAATATACAATTATATTTATACATCTATTCACTATTTAATTTAGTCGAATTCGGAGACCTGGGGTTTTGGGGTTTTGGGGTTTTGGGGTTTTGGGG